GCAACACCATCTTGTCCCTGCTGGTGCTCAAGGAGCGTGCCCTGCACAAGGCTCCTTATTACTTTCTGCTGGACCTGTGCCTGGCCGATGGCATACGCTCTGCCGTCTGCTTCCCCTTTGTGCTGGCTTCTGTGCGCCACGGCTCCTCATGGACCTTCAGTGCACTCAGCTGCAAGATTGTGGCCTTTATGGCCGTGCTCTTTTGCTTCCATGCGGCCTTCATGCTGTTCTGCATCAGCGTCACCCGCTACATGGCCATCGCCCACCACCGCTTCTATGCCAAGCGCATGACACTCTGGACATGCGCAGCTGTCATCTGCATGGCCTGGACCCTGTCTGTGGCCATGGCCTTCCCACCCGTCTTTGATGTGGGCACCTACAAGTTTATCCGCGAGGAGGACCAGTGCATCTTTGAGCATCGCTACTTCAAGGCCAATGACACGCTGGGCTTCATGCTTATGTTGGCTGTGCTCATGGCAGCTACACATGCTGTCTATGGCAAGCTGCTCCTCTTCGAGTATCGTCACCGCAAGATGAAGCCAGTGCAGATGGTGCCCGCCATCAGCCAGAACTGGACATTCCATGGCCCTGGGGCCACTGGCCAGGCTGCTGCCAACTGGATCGCTGGCTTTGGCCGTGGGCCCATGCCACCAACCCTGCTGGGTATCAGGCAGAATGGGCACGCAGCCAGCCGGCGGCTGCTGGGCATGGACGAGGTCAAGGGTGAAAAGCAGCTGGGCCGTATGTTCTACGCGATCACACTGCTCTTCTTGCTCCTCTGGTCACCCTACATCGTGGCCTGCTACTGGCGAGTGTTTGTGAAAGCCTGTGCCGTGCCCCACCGTTACCTGGCCACTGCTGTTTGGATGAGCTTCGCCCAGGCTGCTGTCAACCCGATCGTCTGCTTCCTGCTCAACAAGGACCTCAAGAAGTGCCTGAGGACTCACGCCCCCTGCTGGGGCACAGGAGGTGCCCCGGCTCCCAGAGAACCCTACTGTGTCATGTGAAGCAAGCTGGTAGGCAGACAGGCAGGGAGAAGGTCATGGCTACCGTGATGGAGCCAGCAGTAAGGGAAGGGTGGGCCCCATACAGGAGCCTTTCTGAGCTCCAGCCCTAGCCCCTCGAACCACCCGGAATCGAGGCACCTTTGCCAACAGCTCCCCAGGGTTGGAGACTGGGGTGGGGGACTGGGAAAGAGGCGTTTCTAATGCTGTGGGGCCTGTCTTCGCTGCCTCCTTCTCCACTTCTACAATCTCTCTCCTTTCCTCTCTCTCTCTCTCTCTTTTTCTTTCTCTCTCTTTCATCCTCTCTCTCTCAGAAGTGACAATTCAGAAAAAGAAACTAAGACTGAGAATGCAGGTTTTTCTACTAACAGCTGAGGAGACAGGCTTTCTTGCTTTAATGTCTCTCCTTCTGACATAGTCCAGAAGTGGGAAATTTGTCCTGTAAAATAGACTTCCAGAGCTCTTATTGCCCCCTCTGCTCCCATGCACCCTCCCCTTCCGAGTCCTTTAGCAAGGGCTGGATGTTTAAGGAGAAATTCATCTGCTGACAACCGGGACCAAAGGGGGTGCTGGGTCCCCAGGGAGCAGAGACGTTTAATTGCTATGTTGTGTGCAATGTTGTTTTAAGCTAACCCTGGTCCCAAGCCTGGTTTCCTGTCCCTCCCCACCATGTCCAGACCTCCCAAGTGTTTCTTGAGCATCTGTTCAAGAAGCCAGGAGGGGAGGGAGAAGGACTCCTGGGATGGGCCCAGGCTAGGTGAAGAACGGGATGTGAGCTGCACACCTCGAGCTGAAGAGACCCGAACTTGGCTGCATTCTTTCGAGCTGCCTCCTGGATCCCCAGCCCCCAACTCTTCTTCCTGAGGATGGAAATCCACTCCAGCCCCACTAGGGCTGATGTGGGTGCCATACAGGCAGGAGCATTCCCCCAGGGAAGTGTAGGGAGAGAGCCAAACTCCCCAGAGTAACTGGATCCCAGCACCTGGGGTCAGAGCAGAACCAACCCCAGAATTGTCTCCTGGGTTCACACTATTCTCCTGAGGATGAAAAGTTGGGGGGTGGCCTTGGTATAACACACAGTGATATAAGCTCCAAGGCACTGTGGACTTGAGTCCATTCCTATCTGACCTCTTTTTGTCCCCTTCAAGCCTCGGGGGCCTCAAGCCCCTCTTGGTAGCCCTTGGCCTTCTGGGCCCTCAGCCCCCAACTTCCTTCCCCTGAACAGCCCTTCTCCCCCTTCCTCCCTCCACCCAAAGTGGAGCAGACTGCAGCCAGATTCTCCAGGTGGGAGAGCCCAAGCCTCCTTCCCAGGGCAGAGTCCACTCTGGGCTCACATCACTGCCAGTTCTTATGGACTGGTGAGCCAAGCTGGCATTCCTTTGCCTGGCCTTGCCTGGATTTTTTGTCCCCCTCTCGTTTCCTGGGGGAGGGGGAGATCTGTATTTATCTACCCCCTTTCCCTTCCTGATAGAAACCGTTGTCCTAAGCTCCCTCTCTACCCCCACGACAGCCCCAGAACTGGGGAAGCCTTGACCCTAGAGGAATGGGGAGGGCACTCTAGGCAGGAGAGACATGAATGAGCCTGGCTGTGGAGTGGCCCTGGAAAGGCAGGCCAGAGTGGCTGAGAGGCTGGGGTGGAGGGTACCTGTTCTCTCAGTGATAGTGATGGGGGTGCCTTTCCCAGGGAATGGGGTGGGGGGGAACCACAGGGGTGGGAGTAGGTAGGGTACATTCTGGAGGGTTTTCCTCCATTTCTTTTTTCTAACTGCCTGGATTCACCATTGGATTTTGTAAATGGAAAACTGAAAAGAACAATGCTATATTGGATGTTTTCTCTTTCTGACTCTGTGTGTTTGTGTGTGTGTGTGTCCTGTTTGCATGACCACATGTGGGGAGGTATGGTCAAGTGGGACTGTGTCTGTGTGACTTTGTGTGGGGAGGCACCACTGCCTGGTGCACACATGTGAGCAAATGCCTGTATGTGGAGACATATGGCGCACACACACACGTACATGTATGCACCTAATTGAAAGGAGACAAACTAGAGTTATGTGCCTGCAGTAGGAAGTAGAGTGGTTGGAGAAAAGAATTTTAAAACCGTACGTATGTATGCAGCAAGAGGGTAGACTCCCATCCCATAAAATCTTCCTCCTTTGGCCCAGGCTCTGAACATGGGGGGACAGGATACTTGAGAACCCCATCTCTTCCCAAAGCCTGGAGCCCCCGGGTACCCTTCCAACTCCTGTATCAGTCTCCTCTCCAAAATGCAAACAAGGTGTTCCTGAAAGTGGACCACTTTGGAGAATAGGCACTGGGAATTGGGGATCAAACCTGAATGGGGAACTAACAGGGTTAGAAAATGCCCCCTACAAAGTAATGGCTTCTGGAGGGACTGCTCAGTCGGGGATGGGAGCCCTTCTGAAGAGTCCACTGTATACCGCTGGGACTTTGGTAAGCTTTGACTAAATTCAGAGGAGGGATGTTACAGGGGGGATAAACCTAAGCCTGGGAGTCTACCCAGCTAGCCTGCTCCCTGGGCACTCAATTTACTATTTATTTACTTATTCTCTCAGGTGCACAGAATTGAGTTGACCATACTCCTCAGTTCTTGGCACACTACATCATCGTTGGCCCATGCGAGTCCCTTTTATTCTTTGTTTTGTTTTGTTTCTTCCCCTTCATCACCCATCCCTGATCCAATACCCCCTCCCACATAGGCACCCACTCTCGTGTATTTAATGTATGTCCTTCCAATTCACCGTTCATGTGTTTATTTACATATATGTGTATCTGTGAAAAATATATGGTATTGTTATGTGTTTTGATTTACATAAACAGTATTGTACTATAAATCTTGTTCTGTTTCTTTTTTCACTCAACATTCTGTTCTTGAGAGATTCAGCCTTGTTGCTGTACGTAGATCTAATTCATTCTAGTGGTCCATCTTCTACATATACCACATTTTTCTTATCCATTCCCCTGGTGATGGGTCTCTAGGTTGCCTCCAATTTCCTGCCACCACAGAAAGGCTGCAATGGGCAGTTTCCTACGTGTCTTAAGGATGCCCAATTTAGAGGAGAGGAAACCGAAACTCAGAGAGAGGCAGTGATTTGGTTAGGGCTACAAAGTGAGGAGCACACCCGTGATGTGAATCCCAGACCAAAGCCAGAACCCCACCACCATGCGTCAGGAAAGACCATCAATCTGACCCCCCAAAATCTAAAATGCAATTAAAAACGGCATACACTGAGGAAAGGATTGGAAGGAGGGCAAGTATCGAGTGGACGAAGAGATAGAAAACCCTAGAAAAATCTGGCGGACGAACGGAATCACAATCATTTTAATGACGCAGAGGAAGTTACTTTCGTGTGTGTGATTATTTCTAGAGCCATTTTGCAGAGATGCAGAACGCCACGTCAAACTCTGGCCCCAAATCAAAGGTCCTAGGTTTCTAAATTCCAGGCTCCTTTAGGGCAACCCTAGCCCCGGGGGCCACATCACGGTTCGCCACAGGGACAAACGCCGGGAAGAGGGGAAGGGGCAGATTTAAGAAGTGCGTAGTTGTTGAGGGGAGGGCAGAGAAGGGGGAAAACGACACCGAGGCTCTCCCAATTTTATTTGAGCACATCCTGCTCAGAGCCTGCGTTTGATTTTTGTTTTGTTTTTTGGTCTTCAGAGCCACTGGTACTTTTCCCATTGGATAAAACGCTGGAAGGGTGAGGGAGAGGGGCTTCTTCCCCTCAGCTTTCCTTGCGGCCAATCGTCCTGCAGTGTCCCTCTCGTCGCTGGGGGAGTCAGCCCGATGATTGGCGGGCCCTAGAGGAGCCAATCGGAAAGCGATGAGGTGTGGTGTTGGCAAGCAGATTGCGTGAGAGCGGGCAGAGGTCGAGGGAGTGCGAGCGTCTCGGCGGAGGCTGGCAGCCAATGGAGAGGCAGAACGGGCCCTTTGCGTCAGGGAGGGGGCGGGTCCTGGACGCTTGGCGCGGAGGGAGTAGGGCAGGCGCTGTGGGAGGGAACGCCAGAGCGAGGCTGTGAGGAGAGCTGCTCGCGTGAGGTGCTGCGGCTGAGCTTCAGGTGTGAGAGGCAGCGGCGGCCTGGCTGAGAGCGAAGGGGCGAGTGCGAGCCCCTGACCTGTGAGCGCGGTCACCATGGACCGCCAGGATGAGGGGCCTCCGGCCAAGGCCCGCCGCCTGAGTAGCTCAGAGCCGTCTCAGCACGACCAGCTGCCGCCGCCGCCTCCGCCGCCTCCGCCGCCGCTCCTGCGACTGCCCCTACCTCCACCCGAGCAGCGCCCGAGGCTCCGGGAGGAAACCGAGGCGGCACAGGTGCTGGCTGACATGAGGGGGGTGGGCCTGGGCCCCGCTCTGCCCCCACCGCCGCCCTATGTCATTCTGGAGGAGGGAGGGATCCGTGCGTACTTCACCCTGGGTGCTGGGAGTCCCGGCTGGGAGCCTGCGATGGAGTCAGGGTATGGGGGGGCGCCCCCTCCCACGGAGAGCCTAGAAACCTTCTCTCCTTCGGAGGCTTCTGGGGGAAGTCTGGAAATTGACTTTCAGGTTATAGAGCCCAGCAGTTTTGCCGGAGAGAAGGCCCTAGAAACCTGTAGCGCAGGGGAGTGGGGGTACCAGAGGTTAGCCGGTCCGAGGGGGAAGGAAGAGGCTATCATCATAGTGGAAGATGACGACGAGGATGAAAAGGAGAGTGTGAGGAAGAGGAGGAGGAGGAGGAAGAGGAAGCAGAGGAAGATGAAGAAGGAAAGCAAGGAGAGGAATGCCGAGAAGATAGAGTGCATCCTGCAGGCACTGGAAAACATTCAACTGGACCTGGAGGCGGTGAACATCAAGGCAGGCAAGGCCTTCCTCCGTCTGAAGCGCAAGTTCATCCAGATGCGAAGACCCTTCCTGGAGCGCAGAGACCTCATCATCCAGCATATCCCAGGCTTCTGGGTCAAAGCAGTATCCTTGTCATCTATATTCATGGGCTAGGAGCCCAT